GTATGCATTTACATTGTATATGTTTCCTTTTTCTTGCTGGATTCTGTAACAATTTTTGTACAAGTCCCTTCAAGTCCTTTTTGAATTTGTGTTACAAGGTTACTGCTATCTGTAAGATGAAACTAGGCTGAAATGTGTTGATACATATCATTACAGTCATGTGGGCTTACACCAAGAAATTAACCATTCTTGGGTTGGGTTCAACTCCCAAATAACTGGATATAGTATTTTACACATTTTGATATATCTTTTTTATCAAAATAAAATGAACATGTAAATCATGTTTGGTCTTTTTCTTTTAAGAGAATGAATTTAGAGTTTAATAAGTCTCATGAGATGACTATGGGCCTGGGTCAGTATTTTTATGTCCATTAGAAAAATGTAATTAATTGATTCAATGTGGGAGAGGTGCAATTATGTCATCACCAAGATTACATATTGTTATTGCCTCCATTTTTTCTGGATCGTGGTGTCGGCATCAGTAAACACATTTGTGTAACAAAATCTTAAAACTTGAAATGTCCTAACAAGTTCTCTTTAGACTAGGTTTTATTTCAAAATCAAATTGACCAATTTATTTGTCAAGTTGTCTACAAGTTGTAAGAAGTTCTATCCTGACTTTAGATTTGAGATTCGACCTTCAATGACTTGTGGAGGTCAAAAAAGGTCAAAAAGCTAGTTTTCAAAGTTGATTCAAATTGAACAATTATTTTTTTTAAAATCATCTTTAAGTTCTAAGAAATTCAAGTTCAAATCTGCCTCTAAATTTGAGATTTGTCCTTCAATGACCTTCTCAAAGTCAAAAAGGTAAAACGAGCCTCAAATTGACAACATTTTTCAAAATCTACTCAAATCTATTCAAATGCTATTTTTCCATTGACCATTTTTTCAAAATCATCTGAAGCTCTGTAAACTCTGAGGTTCACTTCTGACTTTAGATTTGGGGTTCAATGACATTCTCAAGGTCAAAGAAGGTCAAAAAGGTGTTTTTCAACCCTGCCTAAGTTGACCAAATTATTTTTCAAATTATTTCAAATCTAACTTTTAATTTGAGAGTTGACCTTCAATGACCTTTTAAGGTCAAAACTGCTAAAGAGAATTTTCAAACTTGCTTCATAGATCAATTTTTTAAAATCATCTACAAGTTCTCAGAAGGTCAAATCTGACTTTAAATTTAAGTTTTGACCTTCTCAAGGTCAAGAAAATCAAAAACATCTTTTTTAACTTGCTTCAAATTGACCATTTTGCTTTTTTCAAAATCATTAACAAGTTTTCCAGAAGTTCAAATCTGACTTCAGATTTTGACATTTGACCTTCAATGACCTTTTCATGGTCAAAAAGGCCAACCAAAAGGTCTCGTTTCAACTTGCTTGAAATTGACCAATTTTTCATAATCACATTCTCAGAAGTTAGAATCTGACTACATTTGACCAGTGAAGGTCACAAAGGTCAAAAAGGTATTTTTCAAATTGACTTTAAAAATCATCTACCAAGTACAAGTTCTCAGGTTTACAGGTTCTCTGATTTTTACATTTAAGATTTGACTTTTTATGACCTCAACGTAAAAAGGTCAGTCATTTGAAACGATTGAAATTATATTGATCTATTTGAGTTAGATTGAGGATGTTTTACTTTGCTTCAAGGACAATCATTTTAGACACAGAGTATGATAAACACAAAGCGGTCGAGAGTGTATCTTCTGCAACTTTAGATCTATCTTTTACTGGTATCTGTCAAAGAATCGATCAAATAAGACTTGTTTCCAAAAACTGACTTTGATTCAATTCCTTTTTGAAAATAACATAATTTATTCTCCCCGTGGTATGACTCATATTGCTCTTTTTAAAATAATCTCATGATTTGGCGGGAATTTGAAAAACAGACAAGTGAACTGTGGAAATACGCTAACATTACACAATGCCCTTCAATGAGGAAGAATGGATGGAAAAATTTAAGACAAAGATTGAATCTAAGAGTAGGAGAGTAGGAACGTGTTTGATCTGGACAGGGGGATTGGACAGGAAAAAGCAGTATGGGCAGATAAACGTCCAGATTCCAGAGAGCTTCCGATGGTCCCGACTTCAAGTTCACAGGGCGACGTATGCTGTTTATTACGGATACGACAGTATACAGAATAATCTCGATGTGTCACATTTATGCCACAATGCATTATGTGTCGACATATCTCACCTTAGCCTGGAGAGCAGATCTGTGAACAACCTGAGGAAGTTATGTCGCAATAATGGATTCTGCATAGGACACAAGGAGGCGGACTGTATACTCTAGTTCCCCGACATACTGCAGCATACCTCACCTTAGCCCAACAGCTGTCCTACAAACTGTAGGTCAGATGTGGCCCAAACAGCTGTTTTCACAGCTACAAGTTTCGTTAGCAACGTTAGCAAACTTGTAATGCTACCTAGCCTAGCTAGAAGGTCCCAAGTCCTTGTAAAAGCAGAGGGCAAGTTTGCAAAATGGATGATACACTCTCCTCATAAGATTTGGTAACTCTTCAAAACAATCAAAATTATTCAAAATTATATAAAATCAGGTTGGAACTTATTTAGACCAATAGAAAAGTGTGATTGTCTTCAGCTTTTCACGAATATTTTTACGTAACGTTTTACTTGAAATTAGATTTGTGACATTAATTATGAAAACGTATTTTTTACGAGCCTTAAACGCAACACAGCTCAGTTACGCACTTACACAGGATATAAAGTAAAACCATGCTCCAAGGGTCTGTCTACCAATAGGTTGTTAAAAGTGTTCTAGCGTTTTTATGGATATCATAAAGGTCGCTCAGTCTCGTCTTGCCGAGTAATATGGCATCAACAGACATACCTGACGTGTTGTGGTCAATCCATGCTCCTCAGTTCTGGATAACTGCTGCAATGCGGACGTTGAAGTTGTTTGAAATGTAGTAGGGAAATAAACATTTACCTACATCCCTTACTACATTTCTGTTATGGTAAAATGTGTGATATAAAGTGCATCGTCTACCTCAAAGTTGAATAAATGAGAGCATTTTCTGCAAACTTATTGAACGACCTTGGTACAAGATCAAAAGCGAATCTGTGAAAAGTTCAAAAAACTTTTGAATGAATGATAGCATTTTCCGCGAACTTATTGAACGACCTTGCACAAGATCAAAACCGAATATTTGATTTAAGTGCAAAGATAGGCTCATTGAATCTGAGGAATTGGATTCCCGATCTGACCAAATTACAAAGATAGTTGTTTATGAAGAATATGCTCACTGACTCTTTGACCGAGACCGCTTTCTTTATATGATATACTAATAAAGCAAGGAAGAATAGCTGAAAAAATAATGGTGATGCAAAAAAATTGCAAAAAGTACTAATATATATAAAATTATATATATATTATTTATCATGAGTTGTCTAGGGCCTTTCACAGTCCTGCGGGATAACAAATGACTGCTGTTGGCCCAATATATTGGTTAAAGGGACAAAGTGCGTAAATGAAGTCTCACTTTTGATCTTCATAGTATTTCCAATGGATTAATAAGTACCCGATCTTTCATTTGACACCAAAAAAGCTCAAACAGACCACATCAGAGTTGACACTTGATCATGACAAAATATTTTTGATCTATCAATTTTTATATGTCAAGTTTTTAGCAATGCCATAGAAAGATGGCATTGTTATTTGCATTAATTATCAATTCATTTTTGACAGGATTTTCAAGCATACGCCATCTTTTAATCCAAGAGTTATTTAAAACATATAATACACTATTTGTAAAAAGTGGTAATTCACTTTTTTCAATCTCTGAACTTCAAATGCTGTTTTCTATGCAAGTGATTTTTTTCACTTCAGTATTATCCCAAATTAAAGTTTTTATCATATTTGATTGACTGTGTGAGTGACATGTCTCAAACAATATTTTGTCCTTTTTCATTCAAAAATAGGCGCATTGCCTGTTTAATTACCAGTCATCCAGTAGACCATTGCAATTGCTATATGTCGATTTATACCACAGCCCGTTGAGAGTTCATTACTCCCTACAGACCATCATTCATTCCATTAGTATATCAATAATAGTAATTTAAAAGTAACTCCATGTAAATAATTATTGCGTTGCATGGTTGAAAGTTTTGAGACTAATGATGGCATAGTTCGTATAACCTAGCTAATTATCGGGAATATGTCAGTTCACGTCAACTTATAACAGACGGCAGTCTAGCTTTCGTTTAACAATAATTATTGTATCCAAGCTTACACTGTTTTGTTGAATATATAAAATATAAAAAATACCCGATACGACACGAGATTCGGTCACTGCCAAGGTCTTCGGTCGATAAAATACATCGACGTAAATTGTACTGTTATTCACAAAATTCAATAATTTATTAATACAGTATGTATTCTACAGACCATTTCCTTTAGTCAGTATTATATAGTTACGTGAATTGTTCAAAAGAATGTTTGCGTAGTGACGCTATGCGACAGTAAATCCATTGACAAACATTTACAAGAACAATAGTTCATCCAAAAGTGTATGGAGTTCCCACTGAAAGTGAAGAGATTAATGAAACAATGTACATAACATCGATATCTAGTGTCAAGGTGCACCGTATTTTCTATATCAGATTATTGTTCCAAACGGTGTTGCCATCACAAAAAGCAACTAAAATATTTATAAATAAAATGCAAATTTTTGCTAGATCATTGAGAAAAGAAAGGAGATCTGCTCAATCTCGTGCATTAAGAGAAATGATTAATTTAAGGAAATAAGGGAAAAACAGCCGACTCATAATGCATAATGGGTCTTCACTTTAAGCTAAGATGAAGAAACGAAGCAGTACTTTGCCCATACCTCATATTTTGGTGAAAAAGTTTAGAGGATGTGTTGTACTAACACCAACGTGACATAAAAGTGATTAGAAATTGCTTCGACAATAAATTGTTGACATAACTTTATGAGTGCAACAAAATATAATTTAAATTACTTCAATGTATGACAAAGTCTGACAATGCAAATGCCAAGGACTCCACTGCGGCTATGTTTCACGAGTTTACTGTCGTTCATCCTCGTGATGAAACTATGCCTTGCGGAGTATTCCAAAGTTGCTACCAACTTCAGAACGTTAGCCATGCCTGAGGATGAGGCGGAGGAGAGGTATTCCATAAGAGAAGCAATCGAATATGTTCATCCAACCAAGATCACCACTGATGGCAGGTTTGGCGATTTAAACTACGGTGATTCCGACGCATATAGCACGCATGGGTTACGACTATGTCAAATTATACAAGCGCATCATCTGGATCACTTAGATAATTATCTATATCAGAACTCATCAACATTGGAATGGATTATAAAATCCTGGGAATATTTAGCATATAGCGCACCTGTAATTACAGACTGGAATTGGTGGGTTTTGCAAATAAGCACACCAAGGTCCCTTTGGCCTGGTCTCTATCTCTCAAGGGAAAGTATCAGTAACACGTTGTATGATGACTTGATTCAAAGATATTGGACAGATGCTGAAGTCTGGGATGTCGCAAACAAAGACGGCAAAATGTCGGCGTCAAATCTGGCAAATAGGGGATTTCTAGGATTGTTTGAGGCATATTTCCAAGGGGAAACTATATTTAGAGACAGAACAAATGAGGTTATTCAACTTTTAAGAACAGAGATAGTTAACAAAAGCTCGTATCAAGGTAAACAAATTCCTATTTTTTTCCAAAGGAGCCACGGCTGACATCTACTTAATTAGCTTATAATGCACAACCTATTCGGACTGTGTTATCTCTATCTCGTTTCTTGCTTATCCCATTAATAAGTAAAAACTTTTTAAAATATCTAAATGACTGGTCCAAATTCCAAAAAGCAGGGTATATTCCCAGGTCCTTTCAAAACATTCTCTTAATATGGTAGCTAGAACCACACTATCAATATTCAGCAAAATATGGGAAAATGATTTGGTATAGTCGAGAAAGATAATTGAAAAATGCATACATCTGTAAATGGAAGACCACACCAAAACAAGTTTCATATTTTTTCTTCTATTTTTTCACATTTTTTCAATTTTTTTTAATTTCTTTTTTTCAAAATTTTGGATACATTTATTCTTTTGTTACATTGTTAAACAACACTTTTGTATTTCAAAAAGTTATCAATGTATTTAAAATTTAAAAGTGGAAATGCAATAAAATAACTTTGCATATGATTGATTTGTTTATTTTTACACCTTGTACTATTGAAATGGCCATATGCCCCTGTAAACTGTACTTGGTATAGGATAAAGCAGTTATGTACGGTCGGTTTGGATATTGGGTTCATCCCTCGTGAGATATGCACATCTATCTTCGGTCCCTACGGTCCCTCAGGTAGATATGCATATCTCCCTCTGGATAAACCCCATATCCAAAACCTCCCAGTACATAACCCTTATATATATCATATCATATTATTTAAGTATATCTTCTTTGAAATACATACATTTACGTGGATGTAATGTTATTTGTACAGGCGAGGGCATAGGAGCGGACTATTGTATCCACACTCATAACATCCACGTAGGACTTTGGGAAGGGCAATACACTAACTCACATCTACGACTGATGATATACAACGGTGGATACGGGGCAGAATATCTTAAGAGATTTGCTCTTATTCATATCCTTCTACATGAGACTGCTTACAAGGTAATTTGGGGGATTTATTGGAATTCATTGTCAGAGTATAGTCGTGGTTAAATAATATTAGCACTGTCTTAATTCCGTTGTTATGACAACCTGGTCTTTTTTAATTTTACTGATGTAGTGGTATTTGATTTTAGTTGTTTTGCTTCCGTTCGACTTCGCTTCTTAAAAGAAAGCTTCGTCTTCAGGTAGCTATAACATGACTCTTTAGTCAGGGTATAGCAAAGGAGTATAGCAACGGAAACAATGAATGCAATGCGATAATGGATTCTAATTTGCTTTTCAGTGAGAATCTCAAGTATTAATCGATATAGGTTGAGTAATTAACCTTACAGCATAACTGTGTTTTTGTATTCTTTTAGGTCGATGAACTAGTTTTGTCAGAGTTCATTAACGCTTTCTTGGAGTGTCATCAATATTTGTGCCGTGGGCAGACATTTGAACCGAGTGTAGTGGGACGTAACATCGATGATAACCAGCGGGTGACTTATTGGGCAGCTTACGACTCTGTATACAAGGTATCGAACGACTGTCAATTCGTGCAGTGCACGATCTTTGGGTTATTTGATCTCTCGGTTTGCTTTTATTCACTGCGGATTTTCAAATTGTGGAAAATGAGGGGAAACTTGAACTTTGGCACCTCCAAAAGAGGTACATTTATACAAGTTTAGTCCAAAACTCACCAATAGTACTTATATCTTTTTAATTAACCTTTTTAAAATGAATTTAATGATTCGGTCAAGCTAATTGAGCGGCTGTGACTGGAATAAGTGGAACATTTTGGAATTTTTCATTTTCTGATTTTTGACACCCTTGGTGCCAATTTTAGCCTCTAACTTCACGAGAAAACAAAAGTTTTTCAATCGGATGTTGTCATATTGTTAGGAAATGAATTATCATTAAAATGATATATAATACATGTCATTAATTAAGATATATCATATGAATCATTCATCTCTAAATTTGGGTATTGGTTTTTAGGTCCACCCTGTAGAAGCATTCTCTTCACATTCAAGGTGCCAGAATTTTGTCTGATTGATGAAATCATAATTATTTGAATAATGCCAATTTTTATTTTCTTAGGTTGCAAACATGCTGTTGATTCTTGATTTCCGTAAAGCTGAACTTGAAAACATACTTTCACGATATCATAACCATGGGCCAACTAACGAGTCAACAGCCCTTATAGGTAACAGGGCGTTGTTTGCCTCAGATATGATGGTCCACCACAGACAAGCCTACATGGCGAGTATACGAATGTTTTCCTCTCGCACAGTTAGACCAGAAACGTGGATCAGTTCCCGCAGAACACAGAATCCAAATGGGTGAGCAATAATAGAGGAATTTCTCAATAGCTTTGAAATCTCGCTAATCTTTGTTAAATCATGAAGTTAAGTGATTATTGCAAGCCTTTAAAATTGAAGTGAATGGCATTCTTGCCCACCCCCCAAAAGAAATGCCAGTTATGACATCCATTTATTCAGCTATTTAGAAACTACCTTATTAATACGGCAGGGCATTTCATTTTACGAACCTTTTCTCGGATCATCCTTACCTTTTGACAAAATGATCTACTATATGACCAAAATAGCCATATTTGCATTTTGGACCATCTTTTTTGTCTACTAGTAAACAATTTCAATCTTCCAACCAATACTTATATTTAAACTAAATGCGCTACATAAAATTCCCGAAATCACTTTTTATTTAATGATGATCGCAATAAATCTATTAGTTGATTTCGTAATCTGAAGCCATATACGTTTAATTTTATAGAACTGCTATTCCAGGTATTTCACGGGAGATGGTTTCACTACATTTTTACAAGATGACCACGAGTTCGGATCCAGATACAACGAAGTGTTCCAATATTATGATTGGGAAAAGATTCCAGGTATTGATCGGACAATTTTGACTTACTATTGCAATTCTTTGAAATGTACTGGGTGGGCAAAAAACTGGACACTCATATCTCATTAGAAGAGCAGATATGAACCAAATGTCATGAAAAATAGTGACCATAAAGTTTAGACATCTCTGTTAAAATGTAAAACTTAACACCAAACAATGCAAGTTTTTAGTATATTTTGGTTTATTTTAGGTACTACGGTTATATATAACGGATATGTACCTCATGAAGGAATGGAGAGGGTAGGGGACACTCCAAACTTTCCCCATCATATAAGTGATGCAAACTTTGTTGGTAGTGCCTCGGATGGAATGTACGGTGTTGCTGCTATGGTTTACGATCGTCCAACAGTTAATATAACATTGAAGAAGTCCTGGTTTTTGTTTGATAATGAAATTGTCTGCCTAGGCAGTGATTTATTCCTACGCAACAGTAATGATACGATACCGACAATTATCACTACACTGAATCAATTGGTTCAAGATGGTGAAATTGCGTATGTGGATTCAGTTGGTCCTTGGAGGAATGCAAACAGCGACATGACAACCAATGTACAAAATGCTAAATGGGTTCACCACGACAATATGGGATATGCGTTTCCAAATGAGGCAAATGTATATATTGATTCGTATGAAAAGACAGCAAGTGGTGAACGTTTGAATGTAACTGCAATGTGGATAAAACACGGGCTTGGACCATATGCGTATATAGTTTATCCAAATGTTACTATTGACCAATTAGATATAAACGTCAATGCTCCGACTGTAGAGATCCTTCAGCAAGATAAAGATGCTCATATTGTATATCAAAGATCTCTTGATGTACTCTCAATGATTGTATTCACTGCTCCATTCTTATTGGATCACCCGAATCTCCTCTATCCAATTACAGTGAACCAGTCCTGCATTTTGATGATTCGGCACATTTCGTCAAATGACAGTCTCTCAATTACCGTCTCATTTCCTACACAGTTATCTGCTGAAATAATGATAACGCTAGGGGTGAGAATCTCAGGAGATGACGTACTTCCAAATGCAAGTGAAAATACGTATGGTGTACTATTTTCTTTCTCGGATGAGCAAGGTATAGCTGGAAAAAGTCAAACCAAAACGTATAGGATAGTTCAAGATTCGTCGGTTTCGCCAACACCTGACTATACATTTACAATTATTTATGTCACAATTTCAGTGTTGGTAGTAATTATAATAGTTGTAGTTGTTGCAGTTATTATAAAGAAGAAACATAACAAGGTAACTTTCATAGTTAATAAAAACAGTAAATAGAAGCAGTTTTGAGGTCTTTAGAGGAGATACAAGTATGTAATATGGTTGCCTATTTCACAGAAGTTTTAACCAATTATCTACAATGATGCCGATAGAATTTGATCGGTGGAAGTTATGGATAGCCAATTGGTTGGATGTCACGGTGATGGCAAACTTCAAAACCTTGGACATTTTTGTTATGATGCAAACTTATAGCAATGCATGGGGAAAAACGTAAACGTAAACAAAATCGCTTTTAAATAAAATGTTGGACGAACCCCCTGTTCTTGCCTAAAAATTCGAACCAAACTTTTCCGGCAATTATGCGATCCCCAAATTTTGAGTTAATGTTTTGCAGTATTTCAGTAATTTATCGTCTTTTGATTACCTAAGATATTTTAGGTATATGTTAAGATTGAAATATGTGAGATGTTTTACGTTATCTTGAGTAAAAAGGACTGAGAATAGAGAAAAAAGATATTATATTGAGATGGGCGATCATAGATATGCACTTCGCATTTTAGGCCTGAAATATTAATAGCATCCAAAGGAATTAAATTGGTCAGGAGTCACTTTCAATGTTGTTTTCTCTCATTCGAACTCATATTATTTATTTTCTCAAATTTTTTTGAAGAGCTTATTGTGCAAGTAATGGGAAACACAAGACAATCGAATCACACAAACTATGATTGAATTAAGTTTGGGGGGGGGCAAACAGTAATAATTGGACCAAGGCAAATTTTGCATTTAGGTGGCTTCAAAAAAAATTTGCCGAAAATATTCAAACCGACTCCTTTAAGACAACTTTAAGACAATTCAGATATTCAGTTTTTTTCGAAAGAAAGAGATTACATTTACAAGAGGTTTAAAGTAGAATATGTTAACGTTAACTTAAATTGAATTAAATCTATATTTTTTAAATACTTTGAATTCAAAATAATACAATACTCAGTTTGTTGAAGTGGTATACAAAGTATTTTGTGACTTTAATTCTACTGTTGTTCACCATATTGTTTTTGATGAATGAAATAGAAACGTTCAGTTTTTCAGTATGTTGTTTCTGTAATGAACACCATACATGTATAATACGAGGTTACACGTCGACGTACAACACAAAAATCGAACAATATAGTAAAAAAACAATGCGAAATATATAATCACATGTTTAGGTGATAGAAAGAGCGTTCATAAAATGATGACTCTGGTCTAAGATTCTTTAAAGCCTTGGTTTATTCGTTTGGCAATCAACAATTTCATGATAGGCACATGGACAGAGTCATCCCATAGTATGTCATTTGAGTTTCAGACAGATTCAACCAGCACCTTTTCATAAGTCATTAAATTAAGTGATTATTGAAAGTTTATAACATGGACGCCTATGGAAGTCTGGCCCAAGCAAAACAAAGAATGACAAGGGTCACATCTATTATGTCAGCTTTATTCAGCTATATAGCAACTACAATTCACTATATTTGACGACATTTGGCGCTGACATTGACAAAAATAATATTTCAGTAAAGCAAATCTCGTGTTTGAGTTGTTCTGGAGAAAACCAAATACATGTGTGTTTTAAAGATGGCGTTTGCGACCGGGCTATGTAAAATACTTCAGTCAGCCTTTATCTCAGCAATAGTCTGAAAGCTTATTTACTTTTTGTGGCTTGTGCTGGAGGTCTGGAGCTTATGTTTATAGTAAAATGGTGAAAGCAAATAAATCAATCTGAAACAAACAATACTACAAATGGCATCAGTTTTTATAAAAAATAATATAACAACGTTTGAGATTTGTAGATTTTTAGCTGCAATATTAAAAGGTTTTGTTCACGATGTACCAAGATTTAACTAGTCTTTTATTGCTTAAATCTACAGCGAGTACGTTTTGCCCTTTTATAGTTCAGCTTGCCTTTTTGAAGTATTGCAGATTTATTGGGTTGCTTTGCCTACTATAAACTGTAAACATGTAAATTATGGCGTCTGTCCTTTAAACGGAACTCCACTCCAGTTTACATCTCTAAAATATGTTTTTTGTCATATTGCAAAGCGGCCCTCTGATTGCCTATTTCTGTAACTTATTGGTATTATACACATTATGCACTGTTCCCCTACCAACTAATTTGAAGTGTGAGGCAGATTCCCATTGCAGGTTATCAGATCGTACATGGTAATTCACAACAAATAATGTCTTTGTTCATGTTAAGCTTACTCATGTTTTTATTAAAACATGTTTGTCACTTTATTTTATGTCTGCTTGTACAAAATGACAGAACGCAATTATAGCACGCTTAATTGAAGTACTTGAATTCTACGACATTGTTTGTTCATTATACATGAATTGACTATTCATATTCTATAATTAAGTCCTTATGCTGGTCTAGAACAGGTTGGTAGAGTGCCTCGTATTGTTGACTCTGTGCCAATGTAAAGTAGTTCTTCCAGTCACCAATTTCACCTGAAATTATGCAACCCTACTCTATCATCAATGATTGCTTGTTTCCCCACACTCCTCTCCTACTGCAATACCACGTACTATTTTCTACCACTGCAAGAGAATCTTAAACAATCGTTTCATTTAGCAAATAAAGATGTTATTTGAACAAATACTCAATCAAATAATTAGTTACCCATTATAAGGAAAATTATAAACCGCTCACCTTTTCTCACAGGGTTCAATCCGGCGATATCTAATGCAGTAAGTTTCTTCATTGATTTCACAGAGCAGGATTGTTGGAGTCGATTGTAGAATTCATCATCATACGACTTTCCTAAGAATGCAGCTAGTCGTTTTGCATTACCCACAAAATCCTGAATGAATAACACACTAATAATAGCTGACGAAACAAAAGCTTTAGATCGTTTGAAGAATAAGCAACGGAATTTGTCCCTAAATAGGTTTTACTAAATACCATTTTAAAGGTAAGAGTGTAAGTTGGTAAGCTTACAGTGGTCGACTCTATGTCTTATTTGTCATTTGGAGCCAGATGGTCATTTAGTTTTATCCTAAACGTATTGATTTGTTTACCTTTTTCATTTGCTCGTAGCTGATGAATAAAATGTTTGGATTATTCTTTCCGTTCTTCCACCAACTTATTACATTTTCTATCCACTTTCCTTCTTGGTCTGAAATACAAAACTATTCGGAATTAACATATCCAGATATCTCTTTTCAGTACATTGTATTCAACGAATCTATATGTTATACGTAATAAATTTGATTTCAGTATGCGATAAAACAAATTTACTGTTGAAGAAAACTGTAGAAGTTTGTCAACGTTGTAATTAGCTTTTTATACATATATTCAAAATCAAATATAGATTTAGGAAACATTAATTTAACATGTTGCTTTTTATGGGTGCATTGGCTTTTGTGTGGTAAGGTATTCACCAGAAGAAACGAGAAACTATATTCCAAATAATGATCAAGCACAATTATTATGAGTGATCAGCTTACGGAGTCCAGAAAGTACAAAGGGAAAGAAATCGTTCCAATCGCCTTCGAATCCATAATACGCTTTCATATCTTTCATGTGATGATAAAGGGATACAGCTGTGTCCTTGGGATTGCGGTACAGATACACAATCTTGGACCCTTTGTCGAAAACATCCTAAATTAAACTGTATATTTATACTTTGAATAAATCATTATACGTTTCACTTCACAGAAATTGTTACTTCTTTCCAGAAGTGTCAGATCAGCAATATAGTTATTTTCAAGGGGGTCATTGACAGGAACTTCGTAAAGTCACGAATTCTTAAATCAATTGTTGTAACCATGGATATTATAAGGTCACAGTTAGAGAACAATGGACTTTATGAATTCTTAACTTTACGAAAGGAGCAGGGAAAGTATCGCAACAGACTTTTGATAATTTTGACAGTTGATAATTTTTTTGTGAGTAGTTTCTGGCTGTAAAAAGTAAATGCTTGGGAAAGGCGAATCTATAATCTTCAAGAAAAGTTCAAAGAATAGTTTCCAGATCAATTGGATTATCTTATAATCCATGTTTAATCCACCCATCAACAAGCTTTTTCAAAATACATTCGTCATTTTCACCATCGTCCCTCATTTTTTTACAATTTTTCATGCAAAGTTACATTGTACTTGAACACATGTTTCATCAAGTAAAATATGTAAGGAACTCCATGAAGTTTGTTTTTGAGTTTTTTTTGAAAAAATGAACCTCTTAAAATGCATGTTTACAAAAATAATTTAGGAGTGATGTAAAAGATGGCAATGTTTTTCAATAATAACATGCATAGGTGGGTGAATTACTCATGTGTGTTGTGTTTTAATCCTGCATTCACTGACTGAGTTAGCCTATTGAAAAATCATAGAGATTATAATACAAACAGTAATACTATGAATACTTCTACTTCAACCTCAAATAGCGCTTTCAGGGTCCTGTGTTGAAATACTAGATCACCTTATGTGCATGAATTTTCAAGAGAAACCATCAGTGCAAGCAATTAAATGAAAGCATCATCCGAACATCACTTGAAAAGTACTAAAGTGGTGAAAAATTGCAGGATGTTGACAGAAAATGTGCCTAGGGGAGAGGGTCGTCTCTCAACCCCCCTCCTCCCCCTCCCTGGTCATGGGACTAATACATATGATATGGCAAAGTCCAATTCATAGATTAAGTTTCCCTTGCAGTCTTGTTGGCATTTTTATTAGAGTTCATGTTTTGTTTATGTTAATGGGTGAGTGGAAGACCCTTGGGTGGGAATCAAATATAAAATGTTTTCTAAAATATATATTTGAAATACTTTGTGTATGTACAGTCACAAACTCTAGGCAACATTAACTAGTAATGGGGCAACACCCCAACTCAACTGAGTGAATGTGTAAACCATATAAGGAACAAAAAACATTACATAAAACAAACTCAGCATGCAAACATGTAAAACTGGCATGGCAAAACAATAGATTGTGAAACTGAATAATAAAAGCACATACGACTAGAAAACAAGGGATTAAGGACCTGTTAAAATGACATGAATGGGGATTGGTCAATATGAATAGTAGAAATATGAAAAATGTTAAAATTTTACATTTAGTATTGATCATGAACATTAGAGAGGTTAAGTACACAGGCTCGTAGGCAGGTAGAGGGGGAGAGATAAAGGGAGCTGCTGCTCTCCCAAGAGATTCTTTCAAAATGATGCAGTTTCTCACCAATCTGAGCACTTCGCATGATTTTTTAGCCAAAACTGTCAAAAAGTACATCCCTAGGCAAAAACTGCTCCTACCCCTTCTTGGTAAAAGCTGGCTACAGACTGTGTAAAACACTTGTGTGAGAACTTGAACATGAACGAGTACTGTTATGACCCCCAGTAATGTTGTCCATCTCTTAACTGGTTTAACTGGGGACCATTACATCAATTGGCATTATATCAATCAGGCAAAAAGAGGCCAGTGATGTGAAAATAGTCAATAGCATGGTGTTATAGCATGACGGTTACACCACCTCTGAAAACGAGGTTGGACAGCTACGTTCACTGATTTATCCAATAAAATGGCCGCGGTGGAAGAGAAAACTAAGGTTGGCGCATTATTTTCTACTTCTGTGTATCAATGAAAGGATGAACGATTTCTGTAAGAATCGCATTCGGTGATACTTTCAGTAATGTATATTTTGAACGTAGCCTTTGCAAATTGATGCCCAGGGATAACATGAAATAAGAGAAAAACTGTCGAGCTTGAAATTCAAAACTACACAAAAATTTAATAATTTGTTTATTTTTGTTTTTGTTGTTAGGGCATGGTCTACATTACCTAAAAACCTTGTGGTATATAGATGTAACCTACATACGATCATACAAAGCCAATTGAGCATTGGAAACCACCTAATATGTTCTACTCAAGCCATAATAATGTATTTTGAATTTGCAGTAGTTATACACAGTTTACTTATACATTAATATTTTGAGTGGCTCATGTATTGAGACAACACGAGAATGGATCAAAACTTATAAACTTTGATATCTCAGTCGGTAGGTTTACAGATTATATTCTGTTTCTTGTAGACCACCTGGCAGATTTGACCCAGTCTTTATAACCATCCATATATACGTCACCGAATGGAACTAGTTTAAAAGGAAATCTTATCTGTGAATATTGCCTACAAGCGAGAAAGAGGACATGCTGCCTTTCCCATACGCCATTTTTTGTTATCGTTACCGCAAAATCTTGCAAATCGCCTTGACGTAACCGTCATGCTATAACACCGTGAATAGGGGACCATAAGTTTACACATTCCATGTGTACGTTCATCAAAATAGTGCGATCTTAACCTCCCTAATAACTGAAATTGTTGACTCAACCAATAGAATCATTCTATGTTTGTTTATATTTGTTCACATTAATATGGAAGAAAATCTGACATTTTGCTAAAAAGATGTTATTGTAAATCTTAGAAATAATGATAAAGGTAGTATACACCACACACTCAATGGTATTGATTGTGGTTTTCAGAGACTCTCAATAGGGACTTTAAGCTTGCAATGTTTTTCACAACCTAAATGTGAATGGAAAATATTTAGCGATGCATTTGTATGGGCGATTGGTCATAGGTTGGCGTTTCGATTTTATATGCAAGCTTAATCTCCCTAATGTTAACATTAAGGTAAGAGTGTATGTTACTCATAACATTTTCTTAGGATAACATTTCTTGAATTGATGAATATGCAAAAAATTATTCTTAGCATATCATCCTTCATTTCATTATTTGAATAATCAATCTGGAGATAAACTAAAATAAGGAAGTGTGTTATAACACATCATCATATAGAAACATGTTCAATGTTTTTTCAGAAGCTGGATCAAAATATTTGTCTTACTAAAATTATTGGCAAAAGTATGATGTACTAAATTCTTGTACTGTATTTATGATTTTAATAGCACTGTACCTCGTGAATCATTACTGATAAACAAGATACAGAAAACCTGTTCAAAGTAAATGCTATAATAAGGCATCATAGAAATTATCATAAAGAGAGGTATTTAGAATTTCTTAGCAACTTACACACACACACAGGTTTAACTGCACTCAAACATTAAACAGTCAACTTGACAGGTATTCAGAATTTTGGGGGAAATGCTGCGGTTATGCTCCATTGATTAAACAGGGGATCAAACAGCAGGGGATCAAACAAGTCCAACCATTCATTTATGAAAACATTTTGAACTAACTTTATGGCACACTAATGACATCTTATATGAGTGTGCTGTACTAAAAGCATAGCCCCATTGGATCCCCTTATATTGGATTATCATAATCCTAATCCACGAGGAGTTCCTTATATATTTTAAGTGATGAAACATGTGTTCAAGTACAATGTAACTTTGCATGAAAATTGTTTAAAAAAATGAGGGACGATGGTGAAAATGACGATTGTATTTTGAAAAAAAAGCTTGTTGATGGGTGGATTAAACATGGCTTATGAGATAATCCAATTGATCTTGAAACCATTCTTTGAATTTTTCTTAAAGATTATACATTGGCCTTTCATATGCATTCATTTTTGTACAGCCAGAAACTACTAGAAAAAAATTATTTACTGTCAAAAATCTGTTGCCATACTTTCCCTCGCTCTTTGTTAATGGCCCTAAAAGTATGTTTTCCAGTATCTAACCCATGATCCTAAATTAAATTGTTAACTTTTCGTAACGGAACTTTAAAGTTTTGACAATCTTAACAAAGTCCTAGATTTACAATGAATGGTATTCAAAATCCCTATAAACGATAGTAACAAAAGCATTAGAATGGTAAGCTATAGATTAAAATACCTGAGACATGTGATGGTACGGAAAATGAGTCAATAGGAATCTTTGGGAAGGCATCGCTTCAAGTTCTTCCATTGATTTCTGTTCAATAAATCTGAACATCTTAGACATATTTCTGCTGGTTGTGGTATTATTTAGGATCATAGGGACAACTTCGTTCAGCCAAGTGTGACCTAAAAGGTTTAAAATCAAACGAATCATTCTCTACTGTCTACACTCTGTCTCCAGATACTCTATCAGTCATACGTCATCTTTCCATCCTAGAAATTGACCATATGAACGTTAATTTGAATCTTTGAGGCTTGTGCTGAGGTTTATCTTCATCTATTCAATCCATTACTGCCGCGGAACATAATTTCATTTTGCTGACAGAACGTATCTTTTACCTACATGAAATATTTTGGACTGAAGATTAAATGTTGGTCAAGCTAAATGGGCCTAGATATATCAAATAAGCATAATATATGGATATTGCATAAAGCATTGAGCCTAAAGCGAATCCAATTCTCTTGAATGAATAAACACAAGAAGCACACGCGTCTCGAACTCGCAACCTCGTGGTTACGGCACCCATACGCCAAGATCGAACATGCTGGCGCTCAAGCTCTCTCTGCTAGCATATTTACCTCAAAACGCATAAAAAGGCTGGTATTACCTGCTTTAGGATACGCTGCTACAATGACATCATCACTCCTTGCTGTGAACTCCTCACGCCAGGATTTATACCAACCTGCGATATCAATATCATTATCATTTCCGTACCAATCAGGACGTTTGCCAAATTCAGCTGACCATTTCTTTGGCCACACGTTCAACCAAAAATGTTTTTTGTAAGCCAAAGCTTTCATACCATGTTCAAAGTAACATTGCTTAGGGACTTCAGGATCAATCTTTGTTATATCGGTCAACTCCATTGTTGTGTACTTTAGTTCTCCAACGTGACGATATATCAGTACAATACAATACAATGATGATTGAAAAGTGATGATATATCAGGATCCGTTTGTAATATATCCCATCAGGTTTTACTAACGACCATTTTTATTTAACATAGAATAGCCAGGTGATCCAAATCAGCCTTAACCAGACGTTTTGCAACATTTTATGAGGAGGAGGTGATTTCCCAAAGTTACTTGTAATTTATGCCATTTACTAAGCTAGGAAAACGCGTAATAATAACAAACGAAAATATCCATTGCTTATTCATGCTCGGTCTAACTAGGCTATGTGCATGTTCTTGAAATAAGATCAGGACAAATAAGAATAATACTATTCAAGTAAAATAAATGTGATCCTCAGGAGTATAGTGAATTCAAGACGTAACGTGAAGAACCATGGGAGCGTTTGGCCCCTTCTTCGTTGCATGGTAACTTTTTCAGGTTATGATGCTATTATATAAATCATTTTTACATGGCAGTTGTTGAACATGAAGACTACTAAATCAATTTGATGGGGATCTCGGCTAACATCGAGGCAGTCTAGCTATACTTGTACAGAGTGTCCCCGAAGTAGTAGGACTGGAACTGGCAATAATCATATTCTAATTTTAACAATATGTACTTTCATGTTTTGGGACTTGGTGGCAAAATTTGAAAATATTATAAATAACTATTTGTTTCGATTGCCCTGGTAACATGATACAACAGTTTAGCAAGTTTCCATGACAATGATGCTACGCGGTTTGAATGGTGCTTGTTAATAAAAGGTAAGATTATGGCAACTGGCTACCATATTGATGTAAATGTTGTACCAACCTTTATTTTTTCACTGTCTTCAAATGACAAATGTCATCGGACAGAAACAAAAATGGCGGAAAGAACTGTTTTTCCTTTTTTGATTTGCTTTTGAGCTATTCATTGGACACATTTCCCGAAATTCAAATAATCCTCGGACTGACTCAGTGTTAGAATACTTATTTCCATGTGACTTATTTTAGTATCACCATTGCACTCATTTTGATCTCGCACGTGATAACCAATTAAAGTGCATTGATTGGAAGTCAAAAGAGAAGTAACTTCGTGCAAAATACAAAAGCCACCATGCTTTTTGTCCATTTTGCATCAGGTTCATGTTAACTATAGTTTATATCATATACAGGGGTATTCAGATTAACATAAACCTATATATAAGGGGTATCCTCTTAATAGATTGGCGCGATAATGTCAACAACATTGACATCTTGGCTTACGATCATGCCATCTATTACAGATTCCTCAAACAAGGCCAAAGCATTTCCTGCAATGTGAAAAATTGAATGGTTGTATAGTTTTTTATTGTTGTTATTGTTTTTTCAAGTTTTTAAATTCATTATTCCAAATATACTTTTTTAATGTCATTTCTCCGTATATGGCTCTGTTGTATAAAACAATTTACTGTAGTCGTAATGTACTTATTTGTGACTAAAAATGTAAACTTTTGATTCCCAATTTCATGTCCCTTGTGGATGTTCATTTGCTTATAATTAAGGAGTTTTTTCATTCCATAAAAATGACTTAATAATATTTTAGTAATGAAATAATTTCTAATAATTTGAGTTATTATGTGCTTTGGTAAAATAGTTTTAAAAACGCCAAAGCTTTGCCAGCATTTCAGATAATAGAATTTCCTTCAATATTTTGGGAACAAACGCAATAATTTGAAACACATGCAATTTATTTTCAAAATCTATTGAATAATTTGTCTACAATATTATCATTGCATAATTTATCTACAATATTATCATTATCAATCATCAAACTAAACTTGCATTTACGAATGCAATTTTCGACTGTCGGCTACCAGCATAACCTGTTCATTTCAATAAATTAACCCGTGATTTTAAGTTGATTTAAAGAAAACCCATTAGTCGACGAACAATGACCATTGATCGCATGATTTTTATGTCACTTCAACGATCAATTATAATAAAGCCGCTCGATTGAATTTGCGAACAGATCGTAGGCCATTGTCACTTGCTGCAGGCAGATAAACCCGTTATTCAAGTCAGCGATTTGGTTTGACATAGCTTGCAGCTACTATAATTCACGGCAGATACTATTCATATTTAAACGAGTTGGCCATCAAATTGCAATCAACACGGTAGCCGCTAGATGTAGTCGAAAGTTGCATTCGCGAATATAAGCTAAGTGATGAAATGCAATTTGAAATTATCATCTATAAAATTATTTTTTTACAGTCATGCATATTTATATCAACAAATATGAATTTACATGAAGATCAATTATTCCAGAAAATTAATGTCTAACTCTTTAAAGTTCATAAATTTCATATACATATACTAATTCATAGTAATTCTTGGGGATAATCAATTTTGCAGAATTGTTTTTCAATAATTTAATACCCAAATTGATATCAACAAAGTCTCATACCACTTAAATTGTATGCAGCGGTCGTCGATATATAATTTATGACATCGACACAACGGGTCTACCTGTCATGATTATTCAATATTCTTATGAATAGCAATGTCACATATCTTCCACGTGATGTTTGGTTTGACATTGAAGATTCCAACGCCAATCTTTCCACATGGGTTACACTTGCACTTGAATGTACAGGATGTAGCATCATCGGCGTAAACCTTACATTGTTGGAACTTTCCCTCCATGAGGTTGGTGGCAGCAGATTCAGCGGGATCAGGGCCATAAACTGCCACCTCCTCCTTCTTGGAACAATCCAATGTCCCTTTTACGATTACGAGAAAGTCGGTGTCAGAACCAAAGTCGATGCTGTCGTCCTCTAAGCTGAAATGTATGAAATCTGGGTTTTGTCCTTTGGTCGGTACTGCCATGCATGTATCGATTTGGTTGTCTACCAGTGCAATGATGCCATGCGTCGGGTATGCACCCTCGTTGTATATATCCATATCTGTGGAGCCCCCTTGGACATTGTCACCAAGCAGGTCAAACCTCATATCTGGCTTGTTGTCCCATGTCAGAGGATAGATACGGATAGAACTAGCCAAGAATCGTTTGTCAAAACGATTATACACTTTAGTATTAGAGTCTGAAATAAACGAACAGAATTAATGAGGATGCCTTCCAATTTTAAATTTGTCTTCTTGATTCAATATTCAACTTTACTACAGTCAAGAAACAACGACATCACATCCTTCACGAGCGAAACTATGTAATGATAGATAATGTATTAAAAGCGATCTTATCCAGAATTTCATTTTGGAGTTACCAGCCTGTATATGATTAAATATCAGTTACAGCATATTGTAAAAATATATACGATCACCAGTCGGAGTCATATTTCGGACTATTTTTGTATTTCACAATGACATTACTTGTGTTTCTTGTACAATGACAGCTTAACAAAAGTATATGATGGATATGAAGTATTTAAAAAGGACGACTATAAGGTGACTCCATTCTGAAAAATTAAAATGAATTCCCCGATCCTGACTTTGTGATACTCTTCCATTTAAAGCAACACAGGGCCGTTAATTGATATGTGACGTCTTTTGCCAAGAGATATATATGATGTTGTTTCTGATCGTCCTATCTGTCATATCACATGTTGAATGTATCTAATTCCGTAAACTACTCGACACTAAAGATGTTAAAATTTGCATTGCATTGCTTTATTGGGACTTGTTGTGTTAGGGATAAACAATGAGTCTTGGGTATTAGGTAGAAGAAATAATGGCCAAGGGGCGAAGTCTTTGATGCCACACTGGTTTTGGCTAGCTAATGCCAAGTGTACATTATTTTAGAAACAATTGAAAAATAATACACTGCCCTTTGTTATTACTGGATATTCTTAAAAGTAAAAAATAGTTCATTCTATTGTGTTGCTACTCAAGTGTGGTTTAATAAATAGGCTATATGCTAGTATTTGTGAGCGGCACCCTCTTATAGCTTGACAGTATTGTACATTACTTGGATGAGTGGCTGCTTAAAATTGTCTTCTTTCCAGTTTTCACAAAATAACTGAAAACGATTTTTAGAAATGTAATGAAATACATGTCGAAATATCGGCAAAGCTTGATCATTGTTTTTTTTTATCAAAAATACAAGAAGCTGTAGCGACCCGAGGTTGGGTAGTCATTTTTTACTCTTGAATAAAATGCCAACCTTTCCCCCAGTGTCGCTACTTCCCTTCCGCTCCAGAGCGCGAAAAGTTCCGCTGCAGGGTCAGGTTAATAGCTGCTTGAGCTATATAGCTTTTGTATTCAGTACATTTGTTTTGCCAGGGTATTTTAACATTTTATGCTGTAAGGGTTGATCTCTCGCGAGAGACGGCGAGAAGAGAGTTGGCGCCATATTTTTTTTACTCACGAGGCAGTTTTGATTTAAATATTGGATATTTTGATTACCTTCGACACTTGATCAGGCCTGATCGATTGTTATGGCAGCCAGAGGGATGAAGAGAGACGGGTGGCTGCAAAACCGAGGCTGTATTTTTATATTTGAACTCCACTGCAGTGCTGAACATATTGTGAATTTATTTCGTCTTTGACAGTCATCTGAGTTTGATTGGGTTTAATTTGGTTATTTGGAACATTTATTTTTTGGTTGATTTTCTTTGATAGAATAATGTAATTGTTGGCTGGTAAATCTGATCTGATTTTGATATGCTCAGCGCGCAGGGGAGATTTTACACAGCGCCACCTTTTGACACTCGCCCTCGAAGGTTGACATTTATGTTGTTTAATCAATTATTCCCAAATGATTTTAGTTTCCGCCGTATTTAAAGATGTCGCGTCGATTTATCTGTCCTCCGCGCTAAGAATTCTGGGATAGCTACATTCAAAATGTACGCGAAATACACAAGCAAACAGGTTCAATTGGAACTTATTAAGCGGGGTTTGGATGCCTCCGGAAGGAAAAGCGTGATGTTGGATAGGTAGTTCTGTTATCAAACATTCATATACTTTTGGAAAGCCGATCGCCGATTTTTCAGGTTATTTGCTGTCTGTAAATGTAGGTCAGTTGACATCGATGGGATGTCGAGCGTCGAGAGGCTGCTAGAGTTTTCCTTTTCTACAAAGGAAAGCAGAACCTAGCAGCCATCGACGTGCCTCCATACTTCCGCCAACAGATCAATACCAACACTAGGTTGTATCATCCTTCTAAGTTCATACAACCATCAACTAGAACGGATGCATACAAATTTAGCTATTTCCCTAGGACAATAGCTAAATGGAACACTCTACCTGGTGACATCTTAGACTGTGACAGTCTAAGTAGTTTTAAATCATCATACTATGCCTATGTCAATAACTGCAATTAAATAGGTGTGTTTTTAATATAGATCTATGTTTTAATGTAAAGGGTCCCCAGTGCACAGCAACAAGCCTGCACTACTGGTAAAGAGGGGTGATGTCAACGCGGTAGCCTGACAGTCTCCCCAGGTAAAATGAGTTGTAAACCATAGATCTGTTTTTGAATGTTAAGGTTTTGAGTTGTATTCTATTCAAGTTCTATCACTGTTAAACTGTGTATCTGCTTTATATGGGCTTATTAGCCTTTTGCAGATTATTGACATAGACATTCAGCTGTTTCACCGAAAAGGCCTACAGTTTCATCCTCAATTTATAAAATTATTCGGCGCTAAATACACCCTCTATTTCGGTTTTATGTGTAATTATCTTTATTCCCGTCAATAAAGGATATCTTACAGCTTAATATTTTGGATTTTTGAAGTTTTATCAACTTACCGTGCTGAGTATTTGCTACTTACAAACTGTAGTACATTTACACCTGACCTGATCAATACATACAGCTGTACAGCTGGGTTTACAACTACAATTCTTTTGTTCTGAGATTTTAGGCTTGTTAATAGGACAATATCCCCTTAGTTACCATAAGGAAAAATGCATTATTCAAATTACAGTGCATCATATGTGTTGTTTTTTGTAGGTGAGCTGCCTGGTTATCATTAATTTGCTGTTTCATTGTTGCCTCATCCATCCTACATGTACTGTATCCTACATTTGGGGTTTTGAAGTTGTTGGTAACCACTGGGACACCTCAACTACCTATTGTAGACATCAAGGGCCAGCTAATTTCATGGTTAAGGGTCATCCCCAATGAGCCGATGATTCACAATATTCCTTATGGCATTTTTACACAGTGCTTAGAAAGAGGTAACATCCTTTTCATAGTATTCTTACTTTGCAAATCTATACTTTCAGACTATATCAGCATGATAATCAGGTCTTCAAAAGATTTGGTGTAAGTAATGTTGAAGATGAGGTGTTTGGTGGTATTGATGATTGGCCTACCACTAATTTCAAGACTCTTACTGTTGAGCACCAGTGTTTAGTGCCCAAAATATCAGATCATACAATTACTAATTATTTCATCGAGAGAATATCTATGGACAATCAAATGTCAGGAGATATTGAAGCCTTGAAAAAGGGAAGGGCAATGATGAACGGGCTTAAAGTAAACGCCCTCAGCATTAATCTAGAGAATGAAGATGTCTTATTCTTGACGGGGTTTACAGCTGCTTCAATGAAAAAAAGGTACATAATATAATCAAGTTGTTGCACAAATGTTGATGTTAATGATGTTTAATTCTTTTATTTTGTTGTTGTTTTAGGTGACTTGACAAACTTCTGTACTTGCTCATATTTGATCCAAGTAGAACAAGCCATATTCTGTAATTGTGCCAAGTAGTGATGATCAGATACAGATCTGTAATAAGCCTATAAGTAATTCACAGGTAAATATCTTACACTTTATATATCTCTTTCAATTATCTGTAATATAAATATTGCAGGTAACTTACAACTTCAAGATAAGTTTGAGTAGGAAAGGTGAAGGCATTCTGCAAAGTCACTGTGAATGCCCTGCTGGTGTAGGACCAAATGGCACTTGCAAACACATTGCAGCAGTGCTACTTATGCTGGTCCATTTTGTGGAGCATGGAGAGAGATTGATGGCTAGTTCTTGCACACAAAATCTTCAAACATTTCATCATCCATCTAAGCCATTTACAGGTACTTACATAATGTGAACTATTGTTTGTATTAAACTTTGATGATTTTATTTTTTCAGCTATTTTGTTGATGGTTCTTATTTGGGTTGTACTAACAGTTGGTGACCTTCGCCAGAGACTTGATTTTACAACCTGTCATTTCTATTTGGAACGGGGTTGTTTCTGATTTTTATTGTAAATTTAAGTTAATAAAACACATTGTACTTTATTTTAAACAATTTACTAAAAATCCTTGTTTTGTTCAGTGCACTGTTAGGCCATAGAAACAAGTCCAAGCATATTTGACAACTCTTCCAGACAACTCATCCCCCATAGAGGCAACTTGTCCAGTTAACTCATTCCACTTATAGACAACTCACCCAGTTAACTCTTCCCCTATACAGGGTGGGCCAAAAAAATTGGAACATATTTTCCATCCATTGTAACTTTTTTGTCATTCATGTATTATCTTCAATACTTTAGGAAATTAAAAAAACAATTTATTGTCAACCTCTTGTCTAAATATGAATTTACTAGCTCAATATTTAATTACTCAACGAAGGGTTTTTCCGAACATGTCCTCCACCCACCTGAACAATCAGGCTGTACTGTATTTGACGGTCATACAGGTGCCCCTTTCTAAAAAAGCTAGGGTCAGTTAATTGAGCTATATTATCCAAGTGAGACATGTCTAGCTTCTCCTAGAGTTAACTACATATGTCTACATTGATGGAAATTGTGTTGAGACCATTTGAAGGGTACATATTGTATGGTATGACGGATACTGTAATACAGCAGTGATGTCTCAAGCAGAGAAAATTTGGAAATTTTTCATGACACACACAATATACTAATCATCACCATGACAAGCCAAAAATAATTATACATACATATTTTTATCTTTATAATTTTCTCAAATAATCATTTTACCATTATCTGAATTTTTGTGGATTGAACTGCAATAATAAAGAAAATTGAATAAAAATAAAAATGTTTCAATTTTTATTGGCCCACCCTGTAAACTTGTCATAACAAAAAATAACTGAGCAGACTTGAGCAAGTCTCTGAGTCTATATCTTGGGACAACAGTCACTTTTCTTTTATGGTTACTTTAACTTACTTTGTGTGAGATTGTCCAGCATAAAATGAATTACTGGTTATATTGTTATTACCTTTTCATAGTGGTGATCAAAGTTTATTACTTCTTGGACTTTCTGGTCAGGCACAAAAGGGTGGATCTTACAGAAATTAGGGAGATTGCTCTCAAAATATTCTAAATGATACCCATATTATGGTATTTAAACTGAGTTCTTATCAAAATTACATGGAGTATTCCTATCCTTTATCCAGTTAGTACCTCATGGGGTATCATTTGAAAATACTGGTTTGAGCACTTTTCGGCAGAGGTACTTTAAAGATGGTATAAGGGGAAAGTCCCAGGATCTGATCTAAACAACAACATTATGATTACCTTCATAACTCTATTCAATTTATTTATGATTACATTCATAAATCCATTCAAATCATTTACAATAAATATAACATAATCAAACATTTTCATTCCAAGACATTTACATCACAAAGATGTTTACAATTTCTCTGACTACTTTTGTAAGGATCTCCAGTGAAAGCCCAGGACTTGAATATGGGAAAAACAAAGAGAAAAGTAACTGATGATCCAAGGCCAACAAAGTACAGAAATATGGTGGGATACAATGACTATGTCAGAAATGCTGTCATCAACCATTGCTCCAATGAAAATCATGATATCACTATGAGATTCATGTACCCAAAGGCACCTGTACAATATATCAACAATGACCATGATTATCTTAAACTACCTGTCTTAGAACAATGGGTTGAAAATGGTTTGAAGGTAAGGGGCTGTCTCATAAGTTTTCAACCTAAGTCTACACTAAGTTGTGTTCATTTACTCTTAACCACCCACCTATTCTGTCTTAACAAAACATTAGATATTTATCTTATCCCACCCTACCATATCGTATCCCACCGTACCATATCGTATCCCACCGTACCATATCGTATCCCACCGTACCATATCGAATCCCACCGTACCATATCTTATCCCACCGTACCATATCGTATCCCACTGTACCATATCGTATCCCACCGTACCATATCTTATCCCACCATACCATATCGTATCCCACCGTACCATATCGTATCCCACCGTACCATACTGTATCGCACCGTACCATTCCAGTCTGATCAGGGTGGTTTCCTCCGAGCGCTTCTGCTTCCCTCCCACCTCCCTCTCTATCTCCCACTTGCCTATACACTGTTATTGCCTATGCCTGTAGGAACAAGCCTATTATGCCCCAGAGGTGATTGGCTTCATGGTTGAAATAAATAAAAAAAAACTATTCTGTTGACAGGTGACTGATGATGACATAACAAGAATTGAGCTGACTACAAGGTCCCAGTCACAAAGTAAAATATGGCATGATCAAAGAAAATGGAGAATTACTGCCTCTAGATTTGGTGAGATTTGTCACATGACATTGCGAAGGGACAAAGATAAATTATGTTACTCTATAACCCATCCCAATGGTAAATTACATGCTATGCCAGCAATAGCTCATGGCAGAAAGTACGAAGAGTCTGCCAGGAAATTATTCGAAGAGAAGTCTGGTAAGGTTGTAGAAGCCTGTGGGCTAGTTATTTGCGAGGAAAGACCATACCTTGCTGCCAGTTGCGATGGATTTATAGGAGAGAATTCAGTTCTCGAAATCAAATGCCCATTCACTGGTAGGAATGACAGCATTGGGGTAACTTCTGCCTTTCCATTTTTGGAGGAGAAAGATGGAAGTGTGAAACTCAAATTGTCTTCAAATTATTATTGCCAAGTTCAAGGGCAACTTTATGTCACCAAAAGGCAAACTTGTTACTTTGTCGTATACACTCATAGGGATTTACTCATTGATGTTATCAATTATGACAAGGTGTTTGTTGATCAAAGCCTACTCCCAAAGCTTGACACTTTTTACAAAGTGTCTTTCCGTAAACATATAAGTACACTTTTATAGACCTAAATACATGTACCAAGCTGAGCATTAAAGTACCATAATCAATTAATCTAGCCCAGATGCAGTGATGTAAGACTGTAAGTCATAATGATAAATGTTCTTGAAACCACTCATCGAAAATCAGGTTCTAAACAGTAATTCAGAAAATCATCCTTGAAATATTAAAGATACACTGGCTGCCAAAACACATTTTGGAGCAAACAAGTGAACCTCAGGCACAAATGCACTCAATCTAAAGAATGATGTTACCTCTTCCCACAGCCACCTTGATATTGTGTACACAAGCACAGATAAGTGGTTCAAAAGAATGAAAAGAAAAACTAAATCAGGGCCCCTGAATTTTACTTTTCTATTTTCATTCAGTTGAATCACTTATCACATGCTTGTGTGCAAAAGTACAAGGTGTCATTGGGAATAGGTAACATCATTCTATAGATTGAGTGCATTTGTGCCTGAGGTTCACTTGTTAGCTCCAAAATATGTTTTGGAAGCTAGTGTATCTTTAATGAACCTACTGTAGGGAAATTGAAGTAATTTCTTTATGATGTGCTACAAATTGAAGTGATACTCCCAATTTTCAAAAACCATCTCTCAAGGGTCCTCATGTTCCCTTATTACAGCCATGCACTGGATCGAATGATTATGGTTGTTGTTTATGAAAAATGTTAGACTAAGTACAGAGTGAGCAAAAAACAGAGCATTAGAAAGTGCAAATAAACTTTGCTAATTGTTAAACAGAGTAAATGTAAATGTTGAAAAATTGCGTAAAAAATCTCACAAGAGCTACATGTACACCAAATCTTGTATCTGAAATAGTAATTACAAAATCTACGTTAGACATGTCATCCCACATGTCATATTCCATTTAATACTCTTAGAGAAGTCTCAATATAAATATGGTATTGGGTTCTTGAATTGTTCTCTAAAGATCCATGAAGCACTAACAAAAGTTTATGTAGTGATAAGATCTGAATAATGCTAGAATTTCACACAAAGCTTTTACCATCTAGGATCTGTTTTTTGATTCACCCTGTACAATTACTATTATGCTGTATGGACACATATATCAGATATTCAATAATTATCAACTGTAAATTCACATGGTATTGGAAGTTAAACTTTTAACTTGATTACTAACTTTAGCGAGTCTAACTACATCATGCGAGCCTATTCACAATAGACTCGCGAAAGTTGGTAATCAGGTAGCAAACAGTTGTTAGTTTGCTACCCATGTCACGGGATTTGCCTTTTAATCTAAATTTTATTATTTTAAATGTCTTTCCAAGGCCTATTATCCTTTCCACATGGATTCTTTTTGATGCCAAACGTCTGTCATCTATTACAGTTTTAGCATCCAAGATGCACCGGGTGTCTGGAAATGCCACTCCAAAACTCTCAGGCATGTTACTTCTCACTGTTTCCTTTGAGGGCCAAATATCCAGTTCTGATAGCTGATAATACAAAAAGTTCAACCAAGTGATAAATATACGGTTCACTGTTGTCCTGGGTAATCCAAATAAAATTCCCAAAAGTTCATCATCTATCCCTTGTCTAAGTTTCACTAAAGTAACGAGTAACTGATCAATGACTGCAACTGAGGAAAAAGAAGGTGTGAGTTCAAATTTTGCTGGTCCAAGGCACTGATAGAATAACATATAATGCTTGCTGTTTGAAAATGAGGTAAAATATTTCACTCTGTTGGGTTTGTTTTTAATAGTGTCAAATCTTAAAGGGAGTTCACTGTCACTGTCTTTGCTGCTCTTGTCGCTACTCTTTGTACTAACTTGCACAGATTTGTCACTATGAGTTTTACTCTGCGGCTGCGATAATGTTGGTGGGGTGAGTGTCTCTACAACTACTTCATTGTCAACTTCATTTGTGTCTGATATAACATGTACAACTACTTCATTATTACTAGATGATGGAATGGGTATGTTTGACGTTATAGGATCAATTGGTGCACTTGGCTGTGGATTACTATTTTTTGTCTTTCTTGGTTTGCTGTTTGTTGTAATGCGTTCGGGCAGATTCAGGGATGGGACAACCCCCCTTTTTAACCTCCTCCTACGGCTCCCTGCAATAACACAAAAAATTGTATGAGTATTTGTTTAAAAATGAAGGAAAACACAAGATTCCTTTCAAAGGAGTTCTCAATATGAGAATGAAATACAGTTGAATATCATTCTCATATTGCCACCCCTTA